TTTTTTTTTCTTTTTTTTTTTTTCCCCCCTCCCCATTTGGACGCGAAGGGGGGAGAAACAAGACGGGTTATGTTCTCAACAATGCGCATTTTACTCCGCACCGCCACGATCGGCGTCGCCACGGGGACAATGGCGATGACAACAACTTTGGTGTCTGGTGCACATCTTGCCGCAGTACGGTGGTCCTCCTCCTCGACGTCGGACAATTCACCGGCACTCTTGTCGCAGCGAAGTTTTTTTTCCGGAGGCGCCGATGGTCGCTCCTCCGCGTCGATTGTCGTGGTCGATGCTGAGCTTGCCGCAAAGGAGCGTGACCGCATCGCACGTGAGATGTTGTCGCAGAACATGCCTAGCCCTCATGCCGAGGAGCGATTGGTGGTGACGATGAGGGGACTGGAGCACACTGTGCCGTATACCCTTCGTATCGTTCTGAACGGGCCAAACGAAGCAAAGAATGGTGAAGTCATAGCGGGGAAAGTATTAAAAGAGGCCTTCGAGGTTGTGGATCAGCATTTGAATCACTATAACCCGGAGAGCGAGGTGTCGGCAATCCCCCCCCCCCCTCCCCCCCCCTCAACAACAAAACCACCAGACCGACGGTACACGCGTCTGCAATCATCCCATCGTTTTTATTCCCGCAATATTTTTATTTTATTTATTTATTTATTATTTTTCTTTTTTTTTAATAGTCCCCAAAACAACAACAACAACAACAACAAACGGTGGTGGTGATGGTCTGTCCATTGGAGTGAGCATAGGTTGGTTTTACCGTACGAATTCATTGATCTTCACACATAAAACCCCCCTTTCATTCTTCCCCCCTCAGTCGTCGCCAAAAAAAAACAAAAAAAAAAAACGAAAAAAAAAACCAAAATGAATGGTTGCAATACGGAATATATACATACGTACATATAAATGAGTATTTAATGATTAAATGGAGCCCAAGGATTGGAATTGATGATGTATATTACAAACAAGCAAACAAACAAGACAAAAAAAAAAAAAAAAAAATTTAAACATCAAGAGAAATGAGACACACAAATAGCAATTAAATATTTAAAATTCTGGATGCCCAATGGGGTAGTAACACACACACACACAGACACACACACATAGAGGCACGCGGAAAAACACATCTTTTTTTCTTTTTTTCTTTTCCATTTAATCTTTCCATATATATATGCACATCTTAATAATATATATATATATATATATATATATATATATTTATTACAATTTCCTCGTATTTCCTCATTTATCCATTCAAATATATATTTTTATATTCATTTCTGTATTATTATTATTATTATTATTATTATTTTTTATTTTTTTATTTTCCACCTCTTGATTTCTATTTGTTATTTTTATTTTTATTTTTTTGTACTGATCTTCCTTATTTTAAATATTTTATTATTAAATTTTGTTTGTGTGTGTGTCTGGTGGGGAAAGAAAAAGAATAAGAAAAAGAAAAAAAGAAAAACAAAAATGCACGTTCAATCATTCCGTGACGGTTCTTACCACCTCGTCGATGCCTTTTACAAGCAGTTCCACTGACCTTTTTGTTAGACCAGCCATGTTTGCACGTCCGGATGGGAGTACAAAGACACGCCTTTCAATAAGTTTTTCACACTGGGCCTTCGTGAGACCAAGATATGAAAACATTCCAACCTGCTGAATAATATGTTCCCAGGAGCCAGGGGTACCGAGTCTCTTGAGGCCATCGTACAAAGCTTGGCGCATTTCGAGCACACGCGTCGACATTACTCGCAACTCCTGCTCCCACCCTGCACGAAGTTCAGGGTCGCTCAAGACGAGGTACGCCACTCGAGCACCGTGAGCCGGTGGAGTGGAATATTGGCTACGTACGATCGTTTCAAGCTGCGACTTAATCAACGGTGCCTTCTTTGGGTTGGCTGTGACAATGGAGCAGACACCCACACGCTCTGCGTACAGGCCCATATTCTTTGAATAGGACTGTGCAAGAAGCATTTCCATCCCTTGTCGTGCAAAGAGACGAATCGAATAGGCGTCATTATCAAGGCTTCCGGTGGCATATCCCTGATATGCAGAGTCAAAGAAGGGAATGAGACGACGCGCCTGGAAAACCTCCAAAATTTTGGCCCATTGTTCGTGGGTCGGGTCCATACCTGTCGGATTATGTGCACAGGCATGCAGGATCACAATACTGCCCTCCGGCGCCCCGTTGAGGTCTTCTAAAAGACCATCAAAGTCAATGCAACGTTTGGCGTTGTCGTAGTAACGGTACTTGCGTAAGTCGGTCAGATTTGCCGCGGCCATAACAGCGTAGTGGTTTGGCCACGTCGGATCGGAAATGTACACAGGAGTGTCGCGCGAGAGTACACGGGCGAGGAAACACGCTCCAATACTGAGTGACCCTGTGCCGCTCAGTCCCTGTATGCCCACCACATTTTCACGCGCCACACTGTCCCCATAAGCAATCTTCAAAGACTCTTCAATGAAGGGCGCATACCCTGACATTGGTAGGTACTCCTTGTCGGCATTCATTTCCAGAAGGCGTTGTTCTGCTTTTCTTACAACATTTAGGGGGTATGGGTGGCCTTCCGCATCACGGTAGGCGCCAATAATGAGGTCTGCTTTTGGTTCTGGTGCTTTCTTCGCAACCAAAGAAGCAGAAAAAATGGGGTCTGCTGGGAGGGCAGCAATGTTGTTCCAGAGGCATCGGATCGCCATATCCTTTTTTTTTTATTTTTTTAGTATTTTATTTTATATATATGTAGGGGTGTATATTATATTGGATAGTATTTTATTTTTGTTTCTGTTCTTCTTCTTCTTGTTGTTGTTGTTATTTCGCTTGCAAATTGAGATTTATATCGTTGTTTCTTTTTTATTTATTTATTTTTTTTTTTTAAAGATCAATGCATTCACATAAAAAACATAAAATAAAAGTAAAATAAAAACAGAGTAAAAGAAAGAGAGAAAGAGAGAAAGAGAAAGAGAGTGTGTGTTTGTGTGGACTGTTCAAAAATGGATGCGAGCAGGGAAAGGAACAACAACAACAACAAGAAGAGGGAAGGCACTTTAAGCGCATAATATCACTTCTTACAAAATCACCGAATTGTCCCGATATTTTTTTTTTGTTTTAATTTTCTACAAACACACACACACAGTCATAGAGAGAGAGAGAGAGAGAGGTAGAGTGAAAGAAAGAGAAAGCATATTTTGCACACACGACACAGGAATCCCATGACATGTCTATTCAAAAGATATATAAATATATAAATATATATATATATATATATATATAAGTATATTACTCGTAAATATCCCACTAAAAGGGCAGTCTCAAAGAGAATGCAGGGAAGAGGCTTCCTCCAATGCATGGCGTTGGTAAAGTTGGGTGAATATGCCACGTCGATTCCTTTTCTTTATCCGATGTTTGCTGCTCTTTTTGTTTTTCTTGTTCATATTCCATGGCAAGATTCCTTACCTTGGTAATAGCTTCACAAACAGGTATGGCACGTTGCCGCACTCGAGAAGCCTGGAGGAGGACCGACTCCAACTGCTCACGACGTTGTGTCGTGTGCCGCTCGGCAAGCCGCAGGGCCGCAAAGGGATCTATAATGCCGTCCAACGTCGCGGACGCCTGATCGGGCAGCTGCGGCTGCGGCAGCGGTGTATCATGACGCCCTTCACAGCTTCCCCCGATACATGGCGGTGTGCCCAAGGGCTTGCAATGGAAAGCCAAACTACCAGGGGTGACACATGGACCGCCACCCACGGGCGGTGTTTCTTCCACTCTATTGACTGAATCACGTCTTCTGAAGGAGAGGGCGTCCATGACCGCAAGAAGAAGTTCACGCCGCGATTGCTTCCCTTTTCGATCTTCGCCGCTGCTACTGCCGGCGTCACTCTGCTGCTGCTCGATGCCATCATCATGACAACCGTTACATTCCTCCGTGTCGAGCACACATCCGCTGAGCTCGCGAAGCTGAAGAATAATTCGGGCAATGTCCATGTCTCGACGAAAGACAAATTGTCGCCCACTGCGTGTTGCATGAGTATCTTCCTCTACACACATGTCACTAATCCCTGGAGCTTCCCCTGCAGTCACCAGTTGTTTTTGTAGGGGTGGATTTGGAGGAACAGCGGCATCCGTAAATGCGGCCCACTCCTCCTCTTCTTCGTCGTCCTCCTCCTCCTCCTCATGCTGCTGGTTGTTGTGATGGTGCTCTCGTTCATTCTCCGCCCCTTCGTCGTCTCTTCCCTCAACGACGTGTGTCTCCCTGTGCGTGTACTCCTCCGCCTCTTCTGCACCCTCGTCTTTCACGACAACGGGTGAAGCGTTAATCATGTCGAGCCTATCCGCATCGACACACACACATCCTGGGGAGCCCATCGTTGTTGCTCTCGGTTCAGCAGAAGCAGACGCAACGGTATGAAACGTGAGCGTATTCAATTGACCGCTCTCACTTTTTCCTCCTCCTTTTCCGTGATGATGCTCCTTCTCCTGCTGATTTATAAAAACATGCGGTGGCTCGTTTCTCCCCACCATTGGCTGCTCCGGGATGGCGACGGGTTCCGATACCGGCCTGGAAGTGACCCCCACAAAATCTCCAAACTCATCATCATCATCGTCGTTATTATTATCCGCCTTAAGATCCCCTTCATACAACCTCAACGTGGCAGTTAACGTGTCATTTGCCGATTGTAACCGCCCATTGCTCCCCATTTCATTGCATTTCTTTTCCGGGAGCTTCACCCCGCTATCCCCGTGTTTGGCACACGTGTCAGATTCATGATTCTCCATTTCGCGTGGAGCACTTTTCAGGGGAGGCTTCGGCAGCAAAATGGCATGATCCTCTTCTTCACCAGCACGGTGTGAAGACTGCGGGGCGCCTTCGAATGCCTTAGACCCATGAATGTTGTGGCTCATGCGGGGACCGGCGTTGTGATCCGCTGCCTCATTTCTGTCCAACGGCGTCGGGGACAACGTCGCACCGGAAACAGGTGACTTCGATTTGCCTTCCTCTGAGCTCGTCGCGGTCACCCACGCCATGAATGGACTTCCTAGCGAATTGTTACTTGGCATCCAATGAAAAAAAAAAAATATTGGGAGGGGGAGGTGGCAGGCGTCACGGATACAGGGCATCACGTTGTCACAATCAGAAGTGATGTTGTCAAGTATTATTCCTCCCACTTGGAGGAAAGATGGGAGTTTTGTGGAATGTTGAAAGAGAAAACAGCATCTTTCTATATGCATAATAATAATAATAATAATTATTATTATTATTACCATTATTTCCTGTGTGTTTGTGTGAAAGCAAAAAAAAAAAAAAAAAAAACAACCAACACAAACAAAATTAGGGAACACACACAGACACAGCAGGCGTTGTTCGCTCACATGGAGCAAAGAAACAATTAAACAAGGGCCCACCCCACCCAACAGGATCCGCTTGACTTAACGCTCATCTTCCAAACCATACAGTCGACGCAGTTCGCATATCAGCTGCTTTTTTGACAACATATCATTTCTCGAAGCCTCCATATTTTCACAGGGGGCTCCGTGACTAACGTGCATCGTCTTTAAATGCATCATGTGTGATGCTGACGATGGTGGTGGTAGTGGTGATGCTCCTCGTAGCTTCTTTTGACTCCACGTATCTGACCACGAGCTTCGTGTGTCCACAGAGTCACTGTACAAGCGAGCAATAGTTTTCCTGAGATTCGCCTTAGATATCTCCTCCGTTGGCAGCATCTTCTGTAGCTGCACAGCGGGTCCGGACGTTCTCGTCAGCACGTTCGTTACTGCTACTGTCGCTGCTGGGCTTAAAGAAGCATCTAGAGAGCCATCATCCTCTATGTGAGACGGTGAACGCATTGAGATTTGACGTGGTGATGGACTCACGACCAAAATTGCCGTCCTGTCATCATCCTTTTCACTATTCCGATCTACTGTCTCTTTCTTATGTGCTGACGGCAATGGCACCACTGTCCCCTTGGATGCGTTAAGTTCGGTGCGAGAGTGTTGGCTATCGTGGGGGGTTTCCCCTACCGTAAACGGTGTGTTCGTTTGCCTAAAAATCTGGGTTTCCTTCTCTACAATAAATTCCTGCGGATAAAAAGGCGTCGATGTGGGAGTTTGCTCAAGGAAAAAATGTGACGGGAGCGTCGTCCTTCTGTTTTGCTTGTGAGCCAACACGTTGCAGGCATCATGCTGCTCAGCGTCTTCAGCCATCATGGCACTGTTGCTGTTCGTAGACGCCGTCTTGGTAGAGTTGGTTGCTGTGGTCGCTACTTTCATCCGCGGCACTTCACCGCAGGCCATGAACGTCGCAGTCTGGGGAGTCACATGACTACGGCAGTGATGCTCCACGTGCCACACAAGGGCAGCGAGTTTGCTTTGAAGAAACTGTTGATATTCCGAACGCCAGGATGCAAGAAAGGCCTCACGTGCATGCTCGTTTTCCTCCTCATTCGCCTGCAAAACCTTATGAAACCTCCGACAGCTCATCTCAATTGTTTTTTTTTTTTTTTCCCCTTTTTCCTGCTAACAGTACACACACACACACCCTCCCTCTACACCCCTTCAAGTTGAAATCAGCCAAAAAGAAGGAAAGAAACATACATACACGCGGTGGGAGAAAGAGAAGGCGATGCATGCATTGCAGGCTCAACTGACTCCTTCCCTCGCAGTGCATCTACTGACCTTAGTTCTCTCAACTTCACTTCACTTTCATCGGCAGCTCCTTAGCCCACACGGCGGTTGTGCAGTGCGCGCTCACCCTCCTCCAAGAAGTCTGCCCGGCTCACAAGCATCTGCTGCGGGAATGTCGAGAGTCGAGTGAGAAGTGATGCACCTAACCATGCCGTATGTGACCTTTCCGCCGGTGCCGAGATACGCACCCGGCAGTTACGCGGTGTGAGCTGCAGCAACTCCGAAAGGAAGCGCTGACCAAATCCGCTAAGTAACGTCGAGCCACCCGTCAAATAAATATGTTCGCACAGTTCCGTGCGAAGCTCAATGTCAGCTACCCGTACTGCATTGGAGACGATACCCGCCAAACCTGGATGCTCTTTTCCAAGCAGGGCGGGGTTGAATAGCACCTCTGGGGCCTGCAGCAACTCATATCCAAGTGTCAGCTCCGTACCGTCGGGTAGGCGGTGCTTCTTTGGCGTTGCTGTGGCCATGGCCTGAGCAAACTTCAACAGGGCTCCATCGCCACCGCCAACACCGTCACCCGTTCCTTCCACAACACCCAGGGGGATGGCGCTTGTCGGTACCGGATGTGGACTCACCTCGCAACGCTGCTCCTTGATACTGCGCGCGAGTTCACGTTCGGCACCGCAGCGTGACGGATTAAAACAACGGTTCACAATGCTGCGTGTATGATACCCATTACCCTCACCAGGGCTCGTACTACCGCTATCATTATATGCAGTGTTGTAGCTGCCGTACTCGCGTAACAGTCGTTGGAGGTACTGAGTCACGGCGCCACCTCCAAAGTCTTCCCGTTGCATCATCCCCGTGACAGCGTACCCCTGCACTGCCGCCGCCACGGAAGAAACACCCTCGCCGACATCCAGCACAATTCCAGTTGTCTCGCCTGTCGCATAGAGAGACAAAAGGGGTGCGATACCCACACACATACCGAAGATACCCTTCTCTTCAAAAAGGATTTGCGCTACACGTGCTCGCTGAGGGCGAGAACTAAACGGGTGCTCCACCCAAAAAACACTCTTTTCAGCCAATGACGCGTCCAACTGTTGCTCAATTTGTTGCAGGAGCAGCTGCCAGACATCCCAGTTAACAATAATCCCGTGCTGAATGGGGTACGTGAGATGAAGCAGGCCACGACGCTCCGCAGCGTCTTTACCCACAGACACCACATCGCATCCATGAGAGGTCTGAAACAATGGCTTGTACTTTACACGACCAGCCAGCGACGGAAAGGACGTGGGGGCGGTGGCGCTGCTGAACGCCGCCTTCACACTACCAGAGCCGGCATCCAGCACGATGGTACTTTGCATTGTATAAACAATACACGGCTAACACACACAAACACACAAACACTTGCAACGCTGTTTATTCACCTGCTATTGTGACCTTCACTACCTCTTCTTGAATTCTTTTCTTTTTTTTCTTTTTTTTGTTGTTGTTGGTTTTCTTCTTTTTCTTCTTCTCTTTCTTCCACTTCCCGATTTCGAAACGGTTAGTGTCTCTCACTTAATGGATGCAAAAGGCCGCCACACACCCACGCTTTCTCCGTCCCTGCCGCACGCACAGACAGAAAGACAGACAGACAGAAACTAAAAGAAGACGTATCAAAAATAAATAAAAGAAATGTACAACAGAAGGGAAAAAGTCAAGGAGTCCTTTTTTCACCGTCAAAAAAGGCTCCGCATGAAAAATTAAACATACACGCATAAAAGCCCAGAGACAATAAACTCCAATGTGGAACCAAACATGGAGTTATGGAATAAATATCAAAACAAACAAACAAACGACAACAACAACAACAGCAGCCTTCCACTTCAACACACTTCTTTGTCACAGTGTGTGTATGTGCCGTTCATTCGGCCGCATGTCATTCATCATTTCCAGCTGATGTCCGGGTCTCCTTCGCTTCACCTCGTGGGTTTGTTTGCTGCTGTGACGAGGCCTCAAGAAAACGTTGCCAAAGCATGGCGAGTTTGCAGATTTCTTCAGCTGTCAAGTCCAATACGGTGAGTGCCCCATCCACCCGCAGTTCCTGCAGCATATACTGCGCCACCTCTGCCGGGACACACTTCATCAACGCCTTGTGTACCGTCATACCACGCTGTCCAGGCTTCATCAATAAATCCGTAAAGTGGATCAACGTGGCAGCGTCCATTCCTGGAACAAGCGGCACGGAGCGTGGCTGCAATGTTAACATCGCCCCAAGTACCTCCGTCTTTGGGTAATATGTCATCTCCCTAAAAGTCTGACGCACCTGCACATGAAAAAAGCATTGGCACAGGACAGAGAGACGAGAGAAATGAATGGACCCTGCGGGGGCAATAATACGCTCCGCAATCTCCTTCTGGGTAAAGACATGTAATGGGACGCGTCCAAAAACAAAAAGATTCTGCTTGCGCGAGCAATCCACAGCGTACCGCATCAGTAGCTCCGTGATGACATCAAAAGGGAGATTGGCCACAACCTCCACCTTTGCATCCCCGTCGGACCACCAGCGATCCGTAACTGCAAAAGCAGCCGCAACGCCAGTACTTTGACTATTGACAGGATCCCGGTTGTTATCGCTCGCTGTGCCATGATTAAACCCGGCACTTTTCCCAAACCGTCTTCGCAAAATGCGCTCACGCTGTGAATTCCGTAGCGGTGCGCCCTCGTAACCCTCCCCATCACCGTCATTATTTCCCTCCGCTCCCATTTTCTCCCTCGTTTCATCCGCACGCGCATCGCTCCGTCGCCTCTGATGCTGCTCAACAAACCGAGGAAACACCGAGCACAACACATCGAGCTCATTCACACGGAGCACATCGGCATTCACCCAATGAAACTTCCCATCCGTGTACTGCCGTATCTGTTCGAGGTGCGCATTAAATCGTTCATCCGCCTCGATGCCCAGCACCGCGACACAGGGCCGTGTCAACAAACTCCGCGTGAGTGCCCCCGTCCCGGGCCCGAGCTCAACCAGCAGCTTATCATGTGTCTTGAGTGTCGTGCGGCTTAAGTGAGAGACAATTTGATGCGTGAGCTTCAAATTGAGGATAAAGCGCTGGTCGTACTTCGCCAAATAGCCGGCGTGTGGCACTTTGAAGAGATGTTTCAGCCCCTCCGCCTTCACCCGCGGCCCACCGGGGCACCGCAGCAGTGTAAGTGCCACACCACCGCCGCCACTCGCACTCCTACTTCTAGTGCCTGGCCGTGGCGAGAACAAAGAAGACGACGATGAGGATGAGGATTGCGACCGCCAACCGCAGCGAAACAGACCCGCACTGAATGAGAAAATACACGTCGGCGTGGTGTTGCAACAACGCATACGCACCATATGAGGAATCAATCGGATGTGCTCTTAATAACAAAACAACAAGAAAAGGGCAGAATACAAAAAAAAAAAAAAAACACACACACAGAGAGAGAGAGAGATAGAGAGGTAGAAGGGGAGATGCGTGCAACCCCAGCAACCATTTTATTCTTTCACGTAGAAAACGCACATGGGCGTCGCAGGACGACAAAGATGCAAAAAACGTCATTAACGCTACAACAATGGCTTCGTGTTTTCTTTTAATTGTTATAATCACTATTCTCTCCTCTCTTTCTCTTTCTCTTGCTCGCACGTTTTCACTCAATTACCTTTTCTCTCCCTCTCTTTTTCTTTCATTCCATGCCGTTGATTAAAAAAAAAAAAAAAAAAAGAAAAAAAAAGCCAAAGGCGTATGCACGGATGGGGAAATGCATGGATTCTCCCGTCCCGTTCTTCGCGGTTTGCCTCTGGAGCTACCGTGTGTGAACAAAAGCCCTCCAACAACAAATAAACGGCATTGACGTCGGTGTCAATTACCAGTGATGCAGGTGATTGCGGTGACAGGAAAAAAAAAAAAAAGGGGTTGCATCAGATTTGTTTCCATATAAATATAAATATAAATATATATATCTTCTACAACGCAGGGAAAAGACGGTCATTGGTGTAGAGGAAAGACAAAGAGAATGAGAATGAGGAGGAGGAGAAGAAGAAGAAGAAGAGGAAAAAGACGACCGTTCGAGTGCGAGATGACACCGTGTGCGTTGCGCGGTTTCTCCTCCTCATTGCCATCCTCACTACACAATGTACCGTTCACTCCGCCACGGCGGTCATTTCACACGTTTTCCTCTTATTTATTCTCGTCCCATGCCCACTCCATTATTTTTGTGCGTTGCCGTCATTATCGTTGGCAGCGGCAACGGCACGTGCAGGATTCAGGGTAGGGGCGAGAAGGGGAGAGGAGGAAAACGCCGTTTGTACACAACTTCGAACGTCCCCAGTGGCGCTAGTCGTGGTGACACCAAACACTAAAAAGAAAACCATCTCCGCAATGTTCAGTTGGCCCAGCAGCTTGTCGGTGTCGGGGTCAACAAGGAAGAGCTCCTTCACCCGCTGCCGCGCAAAGTGAAAAAATATATCCCGCAGTGCATCCTTAGCATGAAAAACGCATATTTTTGCACTCACTGTGCTCCCAATTGCCTCACGGACGGTAAGTTCCGTGTCATACACGCCCTGATCCTCAATGCGGACGATATCGCTGCGGTTTATGACATCCACAATGATGTATTCCTCTGACACTACGGCAATGCTCTCAATGTCGTGCTGCAACATGAGTCGCAGAGCCTCAAGCAGCGGGGATTCCAGTGTGACGGAAATGGCATGCGCCCGATGCCTCCCTAATTGGGGAACGTAGCAGAAGGGGATGTCAAATATGGTGCGGTATGGACCAACACGCGGCTCCTTTCCAAATTCCATCAATGGATTTTCCCCTTCCCCTTCATTGGGGGCAAAGAGAAGATTGCGGACATGCGGCGGGAGTACCCCTTCAGCAAACAGGAGATCCGTGTCGGCGGGATCAACGCCATCCGGTGAAATACCAGCGTTAACACCACCGGAAACACCTACCGGGGAGTTTACATCATCCACCCCCGCTGCCACCCCCACACCACGGCGCCCATTCCCTACCGCTTCAATAGATAAGAAGACTGCACCGAGGTACAGAAGAATCTGCTGCAGATCCAATATGGCTACCACACTCACATCATTGGCCTCCTTATTTGCTAGTACAGTGATTCGGCGGACGTGGTGACGCAGAATCAGTTGTAGGCACTTAATCAAAGTTGTATCCGGTGCGCATGTGACAAATGCTGAGGTTGGCGATAGTGATGATAAAATCTGCTTATTTCGAATATCTGACGCATCCCGTTTCTTTTCTCGCCATTCTCGTATTGTGTACCGTGCAACCTGCTCTGCCTCATCCGGGTGATCATGACAATACAAAAGAATATCAATGTAATCGGTCGAACTTAGCATCCCACAAAAGGCACGGGCAGTGGGATCCCACAAGACACACGCATTGAGTCGCGTTTCCTGGGCAGCGATAAATGCAACAGTTAGCGCCACGTCTACATCAAGTACGACCACCTGTGTGGATGTGCCTAACATATCGTAACTTGTGCAGCGTGAAAGAAAGTCTGCAATCGGTGCTGCGAGGAGTTGGCACTCTTCGTCATTCAAGTAATACTCCGCTTCAAGAAAAACATCGTGATCTTGTATTTGCTGCGTCTCGTCATTCACACGCAAGGCGTTACCACCACGCCGTGACACACCGCTCGCAACGGTGTAGGAGCTTCGGAGGGCAAAGGCACTCGTGCGACGCATGCCTCACTTCTCAAATTATCCACCCCGCCCGATATTTCACACAGGAAGAGTCCACGGAGTGTTGAAAAACACACCCAACCACCAACCCACACACCCACACACAGAGGGAGAAGAGAAAAGAGAAAAAAAAAAAAAAAAAAAAAAAGGAAAGTTCGGGGGAAACACAAACTAAGCAGCGGCAACGGTACGATTGCAGAGAACAGCCAACTTATGTGTCTGTCTCCGTGTGTGTATATATGTGTGTATGCTGCTTCGACACGCTCCCTACAGATGTTATTATATATATATATATATCTCTCTTTATATATATATATATAATAATAATAATAAAGAAAAGTATGTTATACCTTTTTGTAAAAATAATATGTATATGTATATGTACTTTTGTCCTTCGTTCAGTTACAGGTAATTATGATAAATAAATATATTTTTAATGTCGTTTCCTCTTTCTCTTCCTTGACGTAAAGAAGAAATGACTCCTTGTCGACAGCTAATCCCTACAGCAATATTGTGTCTTACTAAACACCCTCGCCCCGACCCAGAGTAAGAATAAGAAAAACAAGAAGAAGAGAAAATGGTTGAGTAAACAAATTTTTATTATTATTATTTATTATTGAGAATAATCCAACTAAAACAGATAAACAAACAGACTTGTATACACACGCACACGCACGCACACACTTTTTGAAGGGTCCCGTGTCATATGCCAATATTCTTCCCTTCTTCTCTTTCTCCTGCTGTTCCTTTTCGGCAAGCCTTTCATTTCCCCCATTTTTTCCTACTTGTTTTCTTCCCCCCCACTCCCCACCTCGCATTGACTTCTGCCGGCGCACACATGTACACATGTGTATGTATAATATATTATATACATATAAAGGGAAAAGCGGCGGTGTGTACTCCTACTGCTGCCGCCACCGCAATGAGAAAATAATAAATATAAATATGTATTTTCTTCAGTGCCATACGAGTGCAGTGCAACCTCCCAACAAAAAAAACCCTCTTATTTTGTTTCACAATGGCCCTTCTCCTTAACTCACCATACGACCTCCCCCGGAGCGTGGCTCAATCAACTTCTTCCAGTTGAGGGCGTACGCATTAACGAAGGAACGCATCGCCGTCACCAGCTGCAGGGCGGAGAGTTCCACCTTTTGCAACGCGTCGACGTCCACCTGCCGCAACTCCAACAAGACGGAGGGGCTTTTGCTGCCGCCCTTTGAGTTATTCTTATCGTCATCTGGTTTACCAAGAATTTTCTCCTCCACCGCACCGCGAGCCCCAAAGTACTCACGCAGAGAGAATACGCCCGCTTGTGCCTTCACACTACTGGTCTTTTCACCTGCCCCACCTGCTCCACCTGCACCGAGAGTTTTGTTTTGTATTTCTTCCAACATTTTCAGAACGGCGTGCTGCACGGCGACCCCCAAGTTGTCTTCTTCCTTCAGTTCTGGAATGCGCACGGAGATGACGGTGCGGATCACCTCCGCATCATAGTAGATACGGCGACATGCGGACTGGTAATTGAACAGCATTGACATGACTTCCTCTGGCACCTTCTCAGCATTGTCGCATGTATATTTTGTACCCTGTATACTAGCGCACTGTGAACCCGCCTGTTCTGCAATTTTCGCCACTTGACTGACCAAATTTGTGGCCCACCGCTCCACAACTCCACAACTCTCTTCTTCTGGAAAGGCATCGCGCAGATCCTGGGCA